CATTTGGCTCCCCACTGAGGAATCTGCATATGTTAACCATTGTGGAGGGAGTGGGGAAGTAACTGACTAGCTTCCCTTGAAGCATCCATTTTGATTTATAAGCAGCCACACAAAAACTGAGGCATTTAGTTTCCAACAAAAAGAAGGAAGACGTTTCTTGTTCCTTCCTGGAGTCTTATAAGCAAGTCTTAGCCCTCCGTGTGTCAGCCCTGAGTAATTTCAAAACCTTGGAGGAGGTGGTCAGAGGATTGGTGGTGTGTGGTACTGAGGAAGAGAGTAATCTCATGGAGACAGTTCTGGGGTAGGACCTTGTTTGGAGTGTTCTACAGGCTGGGAACTATTAGGAGTCAGGACTCTCTTCTGTAGATTTGCTAAGCAGTGCCTTTGAGGTCACCAGTGAGTGCTACGTGTCAACCAAGGCAACAGTGGTTGTCTTTGACCTGGAGAAACCCTAGGAGTAGACACTGTGCCGGGAAAGTTCTGTGAGCATTTGTGATTTTAAGCATCTTTGGACTCTTTCCATAGAATCCTCTTAATATACTTCTCTGTCTCAAGGTGTGTTTCCCTCTAAGTTTTATTTCTATGTATGTGGGTGTTTGAGGCCATGTGCATATACTGGTCCTGAAAGCCAGAAGAGGGTATCAGATTGCCTGGAACAGGAGTGATGAATGGCTGTGAGCCACCATGTGGGTGCTGGGAATTGACTATGATCCTCTGCAAGAGCATCCAGTGCTCTTAACCACTGAATCATCTCTCCAGCCCCATCAAGGCATGTTTCTTTCTAAAGATAATAGTATTCTTGAATATGTCTTGACATCTTGAGGATGAGACTGGCAGGTGTCATACCTCCGCCTTCATCTTAACTGGGTGTGGGAGATGGAATACTTACATCCTTGTCCTCATTGCAACAGGGCAGAGGTAAAGCTGGATGGATCATTTCTGTTTCCCTCTGACCTCTATCATTTTCCTGAGATCCACTCTCTGGAGAATTTAAAAGAGCTTCACTTAAATTCACGTTATGTTCTCTGCGAGCCAGGCAATCATGGTCACTGCCTGGAACCCTCCTTCTTTAGCATCTGGTCCCATAGAGTTTGTGGCTAGACAGAAATTTGAGGGACTAACGGGGACTGATGTGGATTGTCAGTGGCACCAAGAATGGGAACACAATCTTCACACACATCGCAACTTCATCTAATGTGTTATTTAGCAAATATTGGCTGAGTTCCTTCTCCATCACACACCACAGAAGGCTTGGAGAAAATCTGTATCTAGTTTCTCCTCAAGCCCTATAGCTTTAGCTTTCTGTGTATTTCTAAGCTGTCTGTCTTTCTCTAGAATTCTAACATTTCCACTCTGGTCCAAGTTGTCATTATTGTCCCTCGGTGGGGTAGTTCCTTCAGCTGAGGGCAATTCTTAGAAAAAGTGTGCATGGTGTAGTTGACACCTTTTGGAGACGTCAGTCTGTGTCAGGTACTCTAGATCAGCCATTCTCAACCTGTGGGTTGAAAATTTTTGGGAGTCAAGCAGCTTTTTCATGGTGGGGAGGGGTCACATATCCGCTATCCTACATATTAGATATTTCCATTATGGCCCATAACAGTAGCAAAGTCAGTTATGAAGTAGCAACAAAATGATTTTATGTTTCACCACAACATGAGGAATTGTAATAGAGTCATAGCATTAGGAAGGTTGAGAACCACCACTCCAGATGGTATACTGTGTCACCAGTGACTGATGGATAGACAGACAGATGGACAGATATAGATAGATTTAACCAGAATTGATCTACAAGATGACACCAGCCACTACTATGTGTTCTACATGCTTATCTTTTCTCCTTTTTTTGTGGTTAGAATAGGCCTAGGCCCTGGTGCATCCTGGGCAAGTGTTCTACCACTGAGCAACACTTTCTCAGCCCTTCAATTTGATTTGATTTGTTTTCATTATACTGGAAATCTATACTTGAGAAAGAAAGAAAGAAAGAAAGAAAGAAAGAAAGAAAGAAAGAAAGAAAGAAAGAAAGAAAGGAAGGAAGGAAGGAAGGAAGGAAGGAAGGAAGGAAGGAGGAGGAAGGAAGGAAGGAGGAAGGAAGGAAGGAAGGAAAGAAAGAAAGAAAGAAAGAAAGAAAGAAAGAAAGAAAGAAAGAAAGAAAGAAAGAAAGGAAGAAAATCACAGCCCTGGTTGGGACCAGCAGGGGTTAGCATAGAATTCTTTGGCAATACAAAGGCAGCACATTCATTTGCAACTAAAAAAAATTAAAGAAGCTTTTCTCAGTGGAGCTGAGATTGTCTCTAAGCTAATTCAAAAGAGAAGGAGCCTTGAAAGGGGGTGGGGGTGTGGATGGTGCCGAGATTGTCTGATCCAGCATGTGTGCTCCATTGGAAAAAAATGTGTGTTGGTGACCCAGAAATGAAAGGGCTCTCTTCCAGGCTAGCCTCAGGCAAGCAGCTCCAGGCTTTTTCATGCTTTGCCTTAGAAAATACAGACACCGAGGTGAGGCTTCTGCAGCCTTTTCTGAGGAAGCCATTGTTTTCCTCCTGCATTCATTTTAGGGAGCAGACAAAGGAAAGGCCTAAGCCGGCTTGAGTGACTCACATTTTGTCTTGGTGTTGAATTATTTTTTATTGGAAGAAGATTCAGCACAGTTCTTTACAACAAATGACACAGGAGGAAGTGGGAAGGCAGAAGAGTGAACTGTGTCTGACTCACAACCTTTAGCACCTGTGAGCTCCAAACACCTGCTGCCCCACTGTGTGTGTGTGTGTGTGTGTGTGTGTGTGTGTGTGTGTGTCTGTGTGGACATGCATGTGTGCCTCAATTCTAACTGTACCTCAGATTTTTAATGATCTTGAAGTCAACTGACTCCTAACCATTCCCTGAAGGTCCGCCTTAATCTAGATAGTAACCAGCTTTGACATCCTCTGGTGATGTAAAAGGCAGCTCATGCTGAGCAGGGTCCTCCCTGATCCTTTGTGGTCCTTCCTGACTTCAAAGTTTGACAGCTCAGGAGCCTTCCTGCTCCACTATGAGAATGCCTTTTTTTGTCTGGGACTATGCCAAGGCACTCATTGTTCTGTTTGCAGAGCTTCATTTAAGCCTAACCTGCCATCTCAAGGTGGCATCATTCATGCATCAGCTCCATCAACAGCCCTTCTTTCACCTTGAAAGTGAAATTTAAAATGGAGTGTAGAGGTGTTCTTTTATTTACTTCATTCATAGAGAACGCTTTAAAAAATGAAGACACACACACACACACACACACACACACACACACACACACACACAAATCATTTGCCCTTAGGTTTAAAATAGCAGCTATTTCTATGGATTTCAAGCCAAGAATGGGCCAGTGCCTTCTGTGTGAAATTTAACAGGGATGGATTTTCTCCTCTGCTCTCTGCCCTCAGCACCACACGGTAGGCTAGCTATGTTCTGTGCCCGCTGCTACTCTTTAATTAAACATTGAGGTATCCTTGTAACAAATTATTTCCTCAAAGAAGAGCCTGTGCTTCCAAAGGAGTTAAAAAACCTTGTACATAGTGTCTCCAATTCTATTTTGGCAGAAGCAACCCACAGACATCCCTGGGGAGAAAGAGACTCAATGTGTGTCTAGGCTTGGGCAATCAAGGTCCTCACCGGAGGAAGGTCCAATTAAGATTTGATCCCAGGGGCAGTGCCACAAATGATACCAGTGGGGAGAGAAAGGAGAAAGAGACAGGAAGGCGAATGGTGAGACTTTGGGCACCATGCAATGATGTGAACTGGGATGTGTCCCATGGTAGCACAGAGGTGAGAACCAACTGAAGAGGGCAGAAGTCATGCTGTAATTAAATCTAGAAAAAAGTGGGCAGACTGCAGGATCAAGAAGGCAAAGGACGCCCTAGACATAGTAGACAGACCAGTCTAGAGACTAAAAGATCTGCAAGCAGTTGGACCACAAAATCAGAGCCAGTGGGCCTCTACCAAACCAGTTTGCACAAACGTGACCAGGCTTTGGAGAGCGCTGTGCCCCACTTGCAAGGGCTGCCTTTGCCCAGCTCAAATTCAGAGAACTGTTACATAGTTTGGTGATATTAAACTGAATCCCTGTTTTTGTCTATGGTGCCCTTCTCTTTATTCTTTACAGGAAAAGCAACATTGTTTGAGATGTGGTTGGCAGTCTTTAAAGCTGGGTGTGAGTCTCACAATGTCCCTCTGGCCACCATCACTCTGACAGCTATTTGGGCACACCAAGAGAGCTCTGCGGCCGCTGTATCTTCCTGTGACCTTGACTGCCTTAACTCAGGAGAGTCCCCAGCCCTATGGGCTGAGGTCCTATAGTTTTCACTTCCATCATTTTTAGATGCTCCTAGGGATGAAAAGAGTTGAAAGTGATCATTCCTGTCCCCTGTCCCCTGTCCCCTGTCCTCTGTCCCCTGTCCCCGTCCCCTGTCCCCATTGCTGAGTGTTGGTTCCATGAGCTTACCAGTGCTCAGCTGCCAGCAGTTTGAGCCAGCTGGTTTTGTTAATTGTTTTTCCAGTTGTGAGGATTGAACCTTAGACCTTTCGAGTACTGGACTTACTCTGCTGCTAAGCCATACTTCCAGCCCCAAATTCAAAACATTTTAAGAACTGGAAGAAAGTTTCTTCAGTTCTTGTTTCCTGAGATTTACTCAGTCCCCTCCACCCAAGCCAGTCTCCAGTTCTGTGTGAATCTGCCTCTCTCATAAGCCCTTATCTAGTGCTTTTGAGAGAAAGAGAATCGAATTGTCCAGCACTTCCATTTCATGTACTTGAGAACCCCTGTAGAAATGAGTCAAAGAGATTTTTAAAAAGCAAATCAAATACTAACTAGAACTAGATCTTCAAACATCCTAGTTTCTATGTGTCTATCTGAGCTGTGTCTGTCTGGTTTCTGGCATACTGTAACATTGATCTAGTCGTTGATGTGTTGAGTTGGAGTGGAAAACTAACATTGTTCATCACAACTAAACCTTTTGAAATTATTTTTTTTCTTACAGGGTCGTCATGTCAAAACAGGACAGCTTGCTGCCATTAAGGTTATGGACGTCACAGGGGTAAGACATTTTTATCCTGTTATCTCATTAGCTACATAGTTATAACAAAGAAGTGACTGACAGGAAAAAAAATTGCCAGAAAAGTAATCTTCCTAAATATTCCAGATCCTTTTCCATTTGTGATTCATGTGAAGAAATAAGAATCTACAACAGCCAACTGAGCAGGCCAGGAATAAATCACTCCAATTAAATCCAATACTACATGCTGCCTTAGGTTCTTAGACTGAATAATGTGTGCTGATAATTTACATAAACATAACCATGGATATTTGCATATGAAACCAGAGCAGGGATTCCAAGGCATTAAAAGTATAACGCTGAGATTACAAAGAAGAGATGAGTTTTAACTGTTCCCCTAAGGGGCTGCCCAACACTGAAGTAGAGGAGAACCAGGATAGCTGTAAAATCCTTAAACTACATTTATCATGAGCATTTTCTAAAACAAATTGTTTTTTGATCAAATAATCACATAGCTGCAAATTCCTATTTCTTAGAGAGCAACTCTAAATGTCTGCTGGATGATCAAAGCAATCTAATATTCCTTTAGACATTACTTTAAATACAATCTAATGGCTTCAGTCTTTTTGCTTCCTCTAATTTAAAATATTTTAATAACCTTTCAAGATTATAGAGTGGAAATCAGACTTTAAAGGATTCACAGGACATCAAAACTATGTTAATAATTTTCTATTGTCCTGGGAATTTTTCTAAGATGTCTGTCTCTTGCACATAAAAGCTAAAAGACCAAAGTCTCCATTTGGCCAGAAGTGAAATATTGAATATAAACAGCCATCCAGTGAATGAGTTACACAAAGATATCAATAACTAAGGAACAGACTGAAGAAAAATAGACAGTTTGTTGGCACATTAACCATTAAGCCATACCCTTTAGACAGAATCTGTTATATTTGGTTAAGTATGAGTTATAAGGTTTTCTAAAAGACCACCTCACTAATCTTCATAAATATCACACATTATATGGACTTATTTGTTTATTCCTTATTTATTATTGATCTAGATTTCTCTCTAAATTATACTTTATGTTTAATTACTAAAAGGAAAATTTTGTTTCTATATACTTATTACCACTTGAATGACACTCTAAAATGTTTGTTACTAGTTTTGTGGGTTTGCATTTTTTACTGACTTTAGCACATTGTATCCATTTCAGTGGTTCCAAACTAATTCAAATATTTGACCTCAGTAGGTCGCCTGGCATTGACTAAGAAATTCATGTGGATTACTCAAATTAGAGTTATGCTCTGCCACTTGAAACAGATGATTATAAGCATGATAAAGGTGTCTTTTTCCCTTCATGTTAAAAATAATCTAGAGGTTTACAATTATAATGTTTAGTATTAATTGTGAAGCTGATAAAAATCTGGAGTCTCTGAAGAGACAGGCCTCTGAGCATACTTTTGGGGATCATCTTGATTTAATTAGTTGACATAAGAAGACCTGCCCACTCTGGGTGGTACCATTCCCCTGGCTGGGATCCAGGTCTGTGTAAATGGAGCAAGAGAACTGAGCAGCAACAGGAATTCACTCTCTGCTTCCTGATTGTAGATGCTATGTGGCTCCTTCCAACTCCTGCCACCTTGACCTGCCTGCCATGATGGGCTGGACCCTTGAACTGTGATCTCTTCTGAACTCCTTCTCCTTTAGTTTGCTTTTGTCAAAATATTTATCGAAGCAACTAGGACAGAAACTAAGACAGCTATCAGGGGTGTTTGACAGCAGTATGGTAAAACAGAGGATGGCTTTATCCTTTTGTTCTGTCACTTCAACTCTCAGCCTCCTTACCTACTAGGGTCACATTATAGTTTGGTGTAACTACAGACTTTATCCCTGGTAGAATGCAGAGACGTCCCTTCTAATGATTTTTATTTCTTGACTGTCTAGCAGTATATCCAGCTAAAAATACAGGTTCTGTAGAAATGGGTCCATGAACACCTACCTCTGACTAAGAAAGTATGTACAGTTGATGGTTTCTAGAGAAGGGAGAGTCAGTTTCTTTGAAGGATGTGGCTCCTGGTAGGTCTGCCAAATTTCTGAAGATGCCCCCACATCCAGGAGATTATAGGCATCACAAATTACAAAGAGGAGACAGAGTGGGAGGCAGGGGTGTGGGAGTGCACCTGGAAGGAGTTAAGGGAGAGATTGGGGTGAAATAGTGAAATGTTGTATAAAACTCTCAAAGATTAATTAAATTATTTTTAAAAAGAAGAAAAAAATTAAAGATTCTAAGGGGTCCAGAAGGAGTAAGATAGAGGATATGTAGATTGCATATGATCTAACTACACTGCATGCTTCTAAAAAGTCACCAGAAAAGAAAGAAATATAGCTCCTATAAGTAGGAATTAAAGGAGTGGGTATTGAAATAGTGAATTAACAGGATATGATATAGAAATCGAAATCTAGAATTGTGAGCCTCTATTTAGAAGTTCATAATAAATATGTAAGCCTTTTTACAAAGCCTCAACTAGAAAACAAATCAGAACTTCTTTGGCAGTTTTGCTGAAGTCATAGTAGTCAGTCATTCTTGGATTGAGTCATATTTCTGCATAATAAAATACACTTGGCAGCTTAGCGATTAATGGTTGTGATGGATCCAAGATGGCTACACTGTGGCTCAAGTTCTGTTCTGTGGCTCTGCAGAGTGAGAGCTGAGGTCCTCTGACAGCATAGATGGGACTGCATGAAGTTGGTTATTGATGTGAAGGTGGAAATGGAGCATGATGGACAGTCTCCCAGTAGAGGGTTTTCTAGGTGAGGTTTTAAGTTGTTCCAAGAACCATGCTTAGTAGTTAGTGCTGGCCACCTTGCCTGCAGTAAAAACTATTTCTTAGTTAATATAGCCTGGCATATGCAGGTTCACATGAAGGAATACCAGTTAGTCTTTCTCAACTGGGTTTTTGTTGGCAAGTAAGCCCTTTGAAAAATGATTTGACAGCTTTTCTCTCAATTGCCCCAAGGCTAACAGACAGAGAATACCATTCTGTGTTTCAGAGTGCCAGCCCATTACATAAAACAGGCACTTTATGGTCTGAGTTCTGTTCTCTTGGAGAACACATTTCAGAAGAGCTGGATACATTTCTGTGATATGGTCACAGCATTGACTCTTATTTAACCATTGACCCTCAACAAAGGCAGATGTGGTGTGTACAGCAGGAAATAGGTTTATTATTGTCCTGCTGTCTGAGGCAAGATCCAGTGAGCTTAGCATCATGTTCCTGCCTGTGACTATCAGTAACAGCTTTTCCTCTCTTAAACTCTATGTTCTCTTTAGAAAGCAATCGATTCAATTTTGTGGTGTTGTCTTTTGTGTGTTATGGAACCCAGTGCAAACGCTTCTCAACAATTATTTTAATTGGGCTCATTATGGTTGTTCTGTTCAAAGCTGAAATGAGTTCTCAAAGGTCGTCTTTGTTGATTGTGTTCTGTGACCTACTGCAAAGTGACTGTAGTTTATTGCAATGAAATTGATGAGGCCATAAGCTTGAAATTAATTTTCAAATTCTTGATTTTATCCTAGAATCTTTCCTTTTATATAAAACAGTCACAAAGAAGACTAAATCTAGTGCTTACAGCCTTCCAGTTTTAGCACCACGACACTGCAAGATTTGCCAAATTGGCTTCAGAATTACAGCTTATGCTCCATCTTGGTCTTCGGAGTCCTTTTCAGTTGCCTAAATCATTATGAAAAGTCTGTTTTCAATACCTTGTGAAAACTCCCTCACCACTGCATTTGCAACCCCAAACTTACCTAAGAAGACCTGACCCATTTAGAATGATAACTCTCACAGTGTGCTGTCAGCATCACTGGGCCCTCAGTAGTTCTGTGGTGTCCACAAACAGATTTGCACCTCTGCTATAGAATCCCCTTGGATTTCCCCTTCTTTTATATTTTCCTTAAGAGATGCTGGAGCGATAGCTCAGCAGTTAAGGGTATATAGTGTTCTTTCAGAAGACCTAAATTTGGTTCCTTGTACTCACATTATGGGCAGCATATCTCTGACCTTCATGAACATCTGCACTCACACATATATACTCACATGAAGACACACATGCATATATGACATTAAAAATGATAAAAAAAAACTCTTCAAAAAGAAAGAAAGCTGCCACACTACCAAAGATAAGGCTTTCTCTTCCTGGGATTTTGAATCTACTTTCTTCTGGCTACCAAGTGTGAGACCAAGTGTCTTTGATTATAAATGTTCCCGTTCTTTAATTTAAATCATTGGTGCAAATTAATGACAGCCTAAATTGCATCTAGCACAGAATGACATAATAATTTCTAAGCTGACTTGACATGTTTACATTAGTCAAGGCATCTTGAGTTGCATTACCATCTCCATTCACACTGAAGGAAGCTGAAAAGGGAATTTACTAGCTAGTGTATATTTAAAACCCACACTCATGGAACTCAGCAAGGTCCAGAAAGACACGTGGTATGGTGTGAGTTCTGTCTCTGGAGTCCACTTTGGCTCAAATTTCCTCATTAGTATGAGTCTCCATTAAAAAGTGCCGGAATGTATAAGCGTGGCCTTTCTTGAATCCACACGCTCCCTCTGTTCTTTTCAGCCACGCCTGGACTGGATACTTGACTCTGCAAGTACCATAGGGAAGGTAATTCCTCAAAGGGGAACCTGAGAGAAAGGAGAGAAGTAAGCAAGGAGGTGATTGGATAGATTAAAACGGGGATTCCATTCACACCCAAGTGTCATAGTTCACATTATGTGTCTTGGAATCATAGTGTGTTCAGACTTACTTGCTTCTTAAATGTCATAGTTATGTTTTTATATTCTAGCCCCAAATAAATGATATTGGTGGCTAACACTGATGGAAAATTTCCGAAATTACTTTAAATGCTGTGTGTGCATTTATATATATATTTAATATTTATATAGTTCATGTATATTATATATATTTGATTCCTTCAATTACTTACAAAACAGGTTATTTTAGTTTGTCCCATTTTAGGGATGCGGAACCCA